GAAGTTAGGACTAGTTGTCTTCTAAGATCTTTCCCAGCTTTAAATCTATGATTTTATGCCACTGGAAGAAATAAATTAAACAGTGTTGACATTTTTACTGTAAGTGAAAATAGAATATATAAAAAAATCACAGCCTAATAGGATGAATGACAGATTGTTTTAGAAGAGGCAAGGCAGAACTAGTGTCATCACTATGCACTCAAAGATGTCAAGGAATAACGTTTCATGAAAAACTCGTTACTCTCATTTTGCAGTATTTATAAGGAATATAAGCAAAAAGATTACAATGAAGATAACTGATGTACCAAAACTGTGCAGGATGAGAAACTAGCAGAAGCTACAAAGCACAATACTCCAAATTAAATCGTCATATATTCTAATACATAATGATTTCAATATAAAATTAGAATAATAGGAAAAAACAATTAGAAAAGATAATTTAAGATTATGAAATATAAGAGATACACGTTTGCCAAATTATGGAAAAGATACTTTACAAAAAGAGACCATTCATGTGGAGAAGCCCAGAGACTGGGAAAGGAGAGAGAGAGAGAGAGAGAGAATGAATATATATGTATGTGCACACCCACAGAAATAGAGAGAAAGACAAGAGGAGTGGCGGGGGAGGGAGGGAACATACCATTACTAGACCTCAAACTATGTTAGGAAGCAGTAGTCATCAAAATTATCTGATAATGGTTAAAAGACAGAGAAGTAAATCAGTGGGATAGACTTGATAAAGAAATAACAAAAACAGCCCCAAAAGGCCTAGTATTTGATAACTCAAAGAATATAAATTACTACGGAAAGAGCTTCCTTTCAGTCAACAGCTGCTGGATAAACTAGAAAGCACTTTGAAAGAAATTAGATTCAGACCAATGGCTTATACATTAAGCTCAAAATTGAGACACAATCTAATAAAAAGGTCACATCATTAAAAAAGTTAGAAGACAACAAGATCAAGTACCTTTCACAACTATGGGTGGGGGAAAAGAAATCTTAATCAAACAGTCTATAGAGGTCATAAAAGATAAAATTAAAATGTTTTTGCAGGAATAAAATACATGACTGAATTAGGAGAGAAACTGTCAAGTGGGAAAATATTTTTATCAAATATCACTGATAAAAGTTTGATACCTAAAACATACAGAAATTGACACAAATATCTAATAAAAGCCACTCCCCATGAAATGAGTGGTCAAATGACAGGAATGAACAGTTTTCAAAAGAATCACAAATTATATGAAAAGAAACGCTAGGGAAGGTAGCCTCACCGTTCCAGATCTTAAATTGTATTATAAAACAGCAATAATTAAAACTACTTAGTACTGGCTAAGAAATAGAGTGGTGGATCAGTGCAATAGGTTAGGTATGCAAGACATAACAGTCAATGACTACAGTAATCTACTATTTGATAAACCCAAAGACTCCAGTTTCTGGGATAAGAACTCACTATTTGACAAAAACTGCTGGGAAAACTGGAAAAGAATATGGCAGAAGTTAGGCACAGACCAAAATCTTACACCCTATACCAAAAAAAGTCAAAATGTGTACATGATTTAGATATAAAGACTGACACCAAGCAAACTAGGACAGCAAGGGTCTGTCAGATTTATGGAGAACAAAAGAAGTTATGACCAAACAAGAGACAGAGATAACATTATAAAATGTAAAACAGGTAATTTTGATTACATTAAACTGAAAAGTTTTTGCACAAATAAAGCCAATGCAACCAAGATTAAGAGGGAAGCAGAAAACTGAGAATTTTTACAACCAGTATCTCTGATAAGGGCCTCATTTCTAATATATGGAGAACTAAGTCAAATTTATAAGAATACAAGTTATTCCCCAATTGATAAATGGTCAAACGATATGAACAGGCAAATTTCAGATGAAAAAAATTAAAGCTATCTATAGTCATATGAAAAAATGCTCTAAATCACTACTGATTAGAGAAATGCAAATCAAAACAACTCTGAGGTACCACATCACACCTATTAGATTGGCCAACATGACTAAATAGGACAATGATAAATGTTGGAGAAGATGTGGGAAAAAATGGAACATTGATGCATTGCTGGTGGAGTTATGAAATGATCCAACAATTCTGGAGAGCAATTTGGAACTATGCACAAAGGGCTATCAAAATGTGCATACCCTTTGACCTGGCAATACCACTTCTAGGGCTGTATCCCAAAGAGATCATAAAAATGGGAAAAGGACCCATATGTGCAAAAATATTTATAGCAGCTCTTTCTGTGCTGGTAAAGAATTGGAAATTGAGGGGATGCCTATCAATTGGGGAATGGCTGAACAAGCTGTGGTATATGAATGTCATCGAATACTATTGTGCTGTAAGAAATGATGAGCCAGCAGACTTCAAAAAAATATAGAAAGACTTGTAGGGACTGATGCTAAGTGAAGTGAGAAGAACCAGGAGAACACTGTATACAGTAACAGCCACATTGTGCAATGACCAACTTTATTAGACTTAGCTCTTCTCAACATTGCAAGGATCTAAGACATCTCCAAAAATCTCATGATGGGAAATGCTATCCACATCCAGAGAAAGAACTATGGAGTTTGAATGCAATCAAAGCATACTATTTGCTCTTTTTTCTTCTTCTCTGTTTTGTTTTGTTTCCTCTTTCTGGTGGTTCCTCCTATTGGTTTGAATTCTTCTTTACAACATGACTAATGTGAAAATATGTTTAACAGGAATGCACATGTAGAGCCTATAACAAATTGCACACCATCTCGGGAAGTAATGCAGGGAGGGAGGGGGAGAAAATTTAAGCCTTTGGAAGTGACTGTTAAAAACTAAAAATAAATTAATTTTTAAAAGTTTTTAAAATTAAAAATAAATAATAAATAAAAAAGAATGATAAACTACCAATGACCACATGAAAACGTGCTCTAAATCTCTCATAAAAGAAATGCCAATTAAAATAACTGAGGTTTCACCTCACACTCTCGAATTGGCAAGGATAAAAATAAAAGTGAAACATCAATGTTTCAGGAGCTAGGGGAAGGCAGGCACATTGAAGGGCTGTTGGTGCTTAGTGCCACCATTCAGGGTTTCGAATTGTGTGATATACATACGTAACAAGACGAGCCTTAATAAAAATAAAAAGAAAGGGTTTGACAAATGATATTCCAGAGAATATCACTTCTTTACAGTCACACAACTGAATAAAACAAACAAAAACGTCCCACTGTGTTTATTTAGAGCCAGAAGGGTTCTCATAAGTCATCCAATCGAGCCCCTTCATTTTACAGAAAGCATTTAGGGTCCAGAGAAGGAAGAAAAGAGGCTTAAGTACCTACTACGTGTCAGGTAATCTGCTAAGCATTTTACAAATATTACCTCATTTGATCCTTAAAATAACCCTGGAATTAAGTGCTCTTATTATCCCATCTTCTAGTTGAGGAAAACTCAGGTACAGAGGTTAAGTGACCTGCCCAGGACAGTGAATTCATGGTGTTCACTTAAGAGAATTCACACGGCATTTTGGCATCTAGGTGGCACAGTGGAGAGAATATGGGTATGGAATCAGTGAAGACTTATGGGCAAGATTTAAATTTAGTTCTTCCTGACTCTAGGCCCACCACACTACCCACTGTGTCATCTGTCTATCAAAATACCATGGTAAAAAGCTGTGATTCTTAGAGTACCACAACCTTTAGAGAATTAAAACATAAGGTTTCCAAAGAACAATGAAGAGATAATGGACAGGCATAAATAAACCAAAGCAAAAAACACTTGTACACAAGTAGTGACATAAAAGTTGCCTTCAGAGATTTATGATTCAAAAAAGAAGACGCCAATTTTAGAAAAGAGAACTGAACAATTTATTGATCAGATCCCAAAGGTAAAAAATTCCAGGACCAGAGAGAGACTTACAAGTAATTCTATCATACATTCAAATAACAATTAATTCAAATATTACATAAACTATAAAAACAGAAAAGAAGGCATCTTACCAAACTCCTAAAATAAATATAGTCCTTCTGCTCAAACCCAGGAGAGGTAGAGAAAAAAATAATAGACCAGTATCTCTAATGAATACTGACACAATAATATTAAATATTAGCAAAGAGGTTACAACAACATATTCAATCCACTACGATCAAGAAAATGAAGTGGGATGGTTATGCAGCAAAACAAGAGATAACAGTTTGATACCCAATCTACTACACTGGTCCACATAATGTTCAAAGAGGCATTGGAAGGACTTCAGCATGTTGCATGACCACACCATGAAAGAATTAGGGAAAACATTGATAAGCATTTCACAAAATGAGATGGTATGGGTCAATTGTTATCTATACCACTAAAGTAGCTAATTTCAATGAGATTGTTAGACTCACTGAAGTATTAAAATGTGATTTTAATCAATGGTGTTTTTTTAAGTACACATTTCCAAGTTTTCGCAAAATCAAATAATCCTCACAATATAAATGACCTAACCCTTCCTTTCCTTTTTCAAGATTTCCAGAAATGTAAAATCTCTAGTCACAAGCCATTATGGAAACTGGTAACAACGGACAAATTAAGACAAGATTACAATATCTGAAATATACAATACTGGGACAGTTAGGTGGCAGAGTAGATAGAGCACTGGCCCTGAAGTCAGGAGGACCTGAGTTCAAATCCAGCCTCAGACACTTGATACTTACTAGCTGTGTGACCCTAGGCAAGTCACTTAACTCTACTGCCTAGGCCCCCCCCCAAAAAAATACAGCACTGAATAAATTCAACTATAAAATTAAATTCCTAAATATCTGTGTAGATGCCAATTTTTAAAATTCATAACATTTTTTATAATCTAAATCTCGTACACACGAATTCTTAATCTTTTTACAGCAGTAGTATGCTTTCAGGAGACACCCTATACATAATTTTCAAACTCTAAAGAAAAACATTTATTTCCACATACGGATTTAAATTCAAAAGAAACAGTCCAACTAAAATGCAAAATGCCTGATCATATACATACCTGTCTGGAATACAAGCTCTTTTCCTCCAACACCAGCTGCTTCCAGGTTAATAAATGCTCGAATCAAGTTAGCCCAGGGGTGCTGGGTAATGAAGCCATGACTGGCCTTAATGAAAAATATGGAAAAAATAAATAAATTAAGTTGTGTTCTAAGACACCATCACATCTAATCACTATAAGGAAAGAACTTCCCTAATGAAGAACTGGAAACACAAAACACATTTTCTCAAAAGTAATAACTAACAAAGAACAAATTTATCTGGGATTCAGTGTGCTACAGTTGAAAAAACAGTAAGTGATTAGGAGTCTTTAGTTCAAGGCTCTAGTCTACTCCCTATCATCTAACAAATAACATGAACATTAGCAAGTCACCTTAATGTGAGAGCTTCAATTTTCTCATCTATGAAATGGGAATATCTAATTGTCTGCCTCATATAATTACTGTAAGGATGTGTGACTCTGACTCTTAAATTCTGGGAAAGATAAACTGAGTGAAAGCATACCAATAACCCAATTCATCAACCTCTTTAGGTCTCAGTACCACCAGTGAAGCTAGGGGGGTTACCTCTCTCCCACTCCTATCCCAGGAGAAAGAACAATGGGAGATAAAAAGAAATAGATGCTAAAATAAAGAAGTGGAGGAAGAAAGAAGAAATAGGGAGGTGCATATGTTAGGAAGTTATCATCAATTTTTGGAGGGCACTACTATCACAAGTTGTCTACAGCCTGACCTGTTAACTTTAAAAAAAAAATCTGCTACAAGAATAACTATGACCGGTGAGAATGGAAAAAATATTAAGCAACTCTTCAAATCAAGAGCTATAGAGAAACTATTATGTCATGAACTTTATAACACATTTAATAACAAAAATTAGTATCTAAGACCAGTTTTTAAAAATCAATAAAAAAACCTAAGAGTTGAATGGGACCTTAGATATTTAATCCAACCCCCTCATTTCACAGAGAAACTGGAGCTGAGATACAGTCCTATTTTAAAATCACTATTTAAAGAAATATTGCAGTAATTTGTTTCTTAAATCAAATCATTTTCATGTCAAATGAAACACTCTAATCCCTACTTTCTGTTTTAAAAGTTTATATTTTCATGAATTGCTTTTGTAAAAAGGAACAAATGTTATTTTTAGAATTTATTTTTAAACCTTTCTCTGTCCATCATTCCCCTATATGTATCCACCTATTAAAATGTTAAGAAATTTGAGGGTAAAAACTTTTCTCTTTTGTGCCTGTATTCCCAGTTTAGCACTTTTTCATTTACTCATAGTGCTGCCAGAAAATAGGCAAAAACATTCCATCTATCATTTGTACACAATACAACTTTTTTCTCTCAAATAAAAGACATTTCATCAAGCTTAGTATTCAAAACAGTGATAACTACTTGCAAGACATTTTCTTCAGCTCCATTAAAGAGGAATATGAGAGCATGTTGTAAGGCTTCTGACGATGTTGACAAAACTCGTAAGATTTCGAGCATCACTGAACAGCTAACTGCATCATCACTGGCACCTTTGGAAAAGAAATGATAGATCTGCAACATGAAATGTGTTTCTAAATTGCTGTTTTTATAGCTTTCATAACCTAATTTTACATGACTACAAATGAAGTTTAACTAGTCATTTCTCTCACTATTTAGTCTACTGGGACCATCACATTTAAAACACACTTTTAATTTCTTCCCATTCCCAATGCCACTACCCTGGTTCAGGCTCTCGTTATCAAACCCATAGTTTCTAATCCATCTCCCCACCCAACACAGCTTTGTATGATACTACTTCTCTTCTGTATCCTATATTCCATCCAAACTTAACTACTTGATATTTCCCTAGTCTTAGAATGTCCTCCATCCCCTTCCCCTCTATCCCTATTTCTACCAGTTAATAATTCTTATCATTCAAGACTCAATTAAAAAACTAAGTCTGCCATGTTAAAATTCCTGATCTGTGGACCTCTCCCTTCCCCCAGCTTAAAATGATCACCTATCGATTCACTCAGGTACTTCTTAGACACTTCTCTCCTGAATTAGTCATTAACATTGCATCTTATTCTCCCCCTCATAGATTTTAAGTTCCCTGAGGGTATAGACTCCTCTTATTTTGAAACTTCCTAAATGGTTACAAAAGTACTTTGTACATAGCATAACCCAGAGGTGAGGAACCTGTGACCTTCTAGGTCCTTGACTGAATCCAAGTTTTACAAAACAAATCCTTTTATTAAGGGGATTTGTTCTGTGAAGTTTGGATTCAGTTATATGGCCACATTTGAGGATCTAAAGGCCACAGGTTGCCCACTCTGGAATAACCTAATTAAATTGCTCTGTTAAATTTATAGGTGCTATATGCTTTCCTAATAGATAACTCATAAAAACATCATAAGATTTAAAGCTTGCAAGGACCTTTGGGATCATTTAGGTCTAATAGTTCTCAACCTGTAAATCACAGCATTACTGTCAGGAATCCAATAATTCACATATATATCAAGCACTGTCACTGTGATTTCCATTTAGCTCCCATAAAATAGTTTTAAAACGCTACTGAATTCATAGTTGCTTTTGGTGATCACATATTTTCTCTATCAACAAATGCTAACTACTGTCACATGGGAGCCCATAGTTTTTTATATTGAAAATGAATCTTTATACTAGATAAGACCAATGCTCTCCTCTAGTCATTTTACAAACGGTAAACCAGAGCCCACAGGGGTGGTAAACACAGAGGCAGAAAAGCTGAACTTAGGGATTTCAGCAAACTGTTTTTTTCTGGCTTTGAATCCAATGCTTTCAACTAACTCTACCACACTGAAAACGAGAAGCAAGGAACTGTAGATATTCTCCAAAAAAATGAACTGTCTAACCAAGAAGGGACCCTCCCTTCAAGGTTTCAATATTAATAACACAGAGAAAACTCTACTTTAAAAAGCCCTAAACTAGGGCTTCATAACCTAGAGTCTATAGATTCATTTCTTTGCGGGAGGTTTTTTTAAATTTGGATAACTGCATTTTCCTATATTTTCCTTTGCAATCCTTGGTACATTATGCCTTTAAAAACATCATTCCAAAGAGTCCATAGGCTTCATCAGACACTGTCAATGGGGTCTAGGACACAAAAAAGGTGAATTCCTGCCCATAAGTAAAATTAGTTCTCTTGGACCCAGTACAATCTCAGACAACAAAGTTATCTCACAGACTCAGACTGTCAGAGCTAGAAAAGAGTTTAAATCATCTAAACCAATCTCCTCCTTTTCACAAATGAGTAGTGAAGCATATGTATATGAGTGGATATAGTCATGATAACAGAGGCAGCAAACAGCAGAGATGGGACAAATTCAGATTTGAATCTAATAAAACAGGCTTACTAATGCCATTATTTTAGTTGTTGTTGTTGTTCAGCTATGCCTGATTCTTTGTGACCCCATTTGGTGTTTTTTTGGGCAAAAATACTGGAGTAGTTTGCCATTTCCTTCTCCAGCTCATTTTACAAATGAGGAAACTGAGGCAAACAGAGTTAAGTGACTTGCCCAGGGTCACACAGCTAGTAAGTGTCTGAGGCCAAATTTGAACTCATGAAGCCAAGTCTTCCTAACTTCAGGCCTGGCACTCTATCCACCGTGCCACATAGCTACCCAAATGCATTGATTAGCAGACCTTGAAAAAAAAGAACAAGATTTCTTAGAAAGCAAATACAATTTCCAGATAAATCTGGAAATGACTGTGATTAAAAAAAAAGGCACTAACATAACCTTTAAAAAAAAATGCTGTCACTAACAAACTGAAAAGCCCAAGAAAACTTTAATCATCAGAATCAACATGTTGCAAATGACCAAAATGTGGGGTTTTTCTCAACACACTGATTTATAGTGATTTACATGATGAATTTTTTAAACTCTTTAATCAGAGGAATAATAATCTTTTAAATAGGCTCAAGAAGCTAAGCAGTATAGCTATTCTCAGCAATACAATGATCTAATACAATTCTAAAGGAGTTATGATGAAAAATGCTACCCACCTCCAGAGAAAGAACTGGTAAGAGTCTGAATGCATATCAAAGCATACTATTTTTACTTTGCTTATTTTTCTTGTTTTTTTTTTGTTTGTGTATTCTTTTGCTATATAGCTAACATGGAAATGTTTTGCACGACTGCATATGTATAATCAGTATCAAACTGCTTGCCCTCTCAAGCACAGGGGAGGTATAAAAGGGAGAGAATTTGGAGCCCAAAAATTTTTTTTTAAATATCAAAAATTGTTTTCACATGTAATGGAAACAAAATTTATTGTAAAAAAGGGCAGCTAAGCCCTAATACAACATTTCTCAAACTATGGATCATGACAATAATGGGATTATAGGAAAAAGGTCTAAAGCAGGTGTGGGGAACCTACAACTTCGAGGCCACATGTGGCCCTCTAGGTCCTCAAGTGCAGCCCTTTGACTAAATCCAAACTTCACAGAACAAATCCCCTTAATAAAAGGATCTGTTCTATAAAATTATAACTTCAGCTCCTTCCAAACAGTGCTAGGCCCTCTCTTTGAACCGTCTCAGCATCTTAAGAGAGTTGTCCTTAACTTCTACTACTTGTCCTGCCACTAGAACTCTACCTCTGCCACCTTTGAAGCTTCCCCAAAATTTTTGGTTTTCATTACAATGGAGGGAATTTTGATAGTGATGGGTAGCTATCATCTTTCCTATGGAAGGTATTTTTGAATGCTTACCTCCAAGGAATTGATGAAATGAAAACATTTGAGAACTCTTAATCTAAAGCATAGCATGTTGATGAAATAGTTAACTAGAAGAGTAGAAAGGGATATGCGTTATTAGTCAGAATCAGCCATTAGGTTTAAATATTTTCAAGAAACTGAGGAAGGATCCTCTCCCCTCAACCCAAACCATAGTAAGTGAGGAGGAGCACTGATGGAAAATGTTACAACATAAAAAGGTATTCATTTTTATAAGTTAATATATTAAGTCAAGAGGCTCTGAATATCATTCCCTGCCCTGACACTGACAGTTTGATTTCACTTCATCAAGACTATAAAATGAGCCTAACCATAAGATTTAAATGAGCCTTTAGTTTCTTAAACAACATAAAAAGTAATAATAACTATCATGCTAGAATAGAATTTTATATACATTCTAAATTAGCAGAAGCTCCTAATATCTACCTAAGCTACCAATTTTAGCTGTTAAAATCCATGCTACAGTTTTAGAGTCAACAGCAATTTAACTACAACTCAAGAAGAAACAGTTTATTAAACTATACTTGCTTCAGTAATGATGGCACTCTATGGCAACAGAGTCCAAGGTATTTATAAGGCATTACTGGACTGGATTATAACTAAATTAAGCTAAAAGCAATAATGAAGGAATTATCTTATTTGTATAAGTAGCTCTCATAAAAACCTGAAACCATCAAATACCAGATCAAGTTGTAACAAACACTAAGCTCAAACTTTGTAAAAGCTGCTGTAAGCAATGTTTTGCAATTTAAAAAAATCAAATAAAAAAGCAAACAACTAATTATTTAAAAGGATGAGAGAAAAGGAAATTTTAGAAAGGTTATACATTGTGAAGGGACGCTCAAAGTAAAATGGTTTGATTTTTTTTTAAATAAAGCTTCAACTGATTCCTTTTTATACTAACAGTCCCACTGTCTTACATGCAGCCTGAGATAGCTCAAATATCTTTTCAAGACTCAAAGAAAACAGGATAGTATAGAGACAGCTGTCGTAATGGACAGAGGTCCAGCCATGGAGTCAATAAATACAGGGTTCAATTTCTACCTGATATATGTTGGCTTTTGGAACATAGGCAAGTCACTAACACTATCAGTGCCCCAGGCAACTGTCCAAAGACTTCAAGTTATAACTAATGTGCTGAGAGAGTGTCCATACTTTGAATTACTCTATGGAGGGGGCAGCTAGGTGGTACAGTAGAGAAGCACCGGCCCTAGAGGACCCGAGTTCAAATCCTACCTCAGTCACACCATACTCACTAGCTGTGTGACCCTGGGCAAGTCACTTAACCCCGATTGCCTTACAAAAAAAAAAAAAGAATTACTACATGGAGATAAAGTCAAAGGACCAAACAGAAAAAAAAAAGTTTGTGTATGTGTATGTGTGTATGTATGTATGTGTAAAAGAACTTGGTATTTAGTAGATGTCACTTTTCCTTTAACCTTAAATTTGAAGTACTCCCACAAACATTGTCCCTTACACCAACAACCTGGAACCATAAGGCAGATATACATATATAAGTAACTGCTTTCTGTAACATTATTTTTAGCAGTTATTTCATTTAGTAGGTATTTAGGAAGTATTGAGAAGCACTTTAGAAATACATACCAGCAGGTCTTTTCTAGGGCAGCTAGGTGGCCCAGTGGATAGCATACCAGGCCTGTTGTGAGGAAGATTTGAGTCCAACTATGACCTCAGACAACTGCTAGCTGTGTGACCCTGGGCAAGTCATTTAAACCCTATTTGCTTAAGTTCCTCATCTGTAAAATGGGGACACACTTGAAAAGGAAATGGCAAACCACTCTAGTACCTTTGCCAAGGAAACCTCATGGATTTTGAGTCATGCAGAGTCTGACATGACTGAAAAACAAGGTGTTGTCTATCTAAAGTTTCCATATTACAAATGCCTACTATATTATGCTAATATAATTTTTGAAGATGGTATATTTTGGAGAATTTGTGACACTTACCTTGGTAATTTATGACTACTGAAAGTCACATTTTTGATTCTTTTGCACTTTCCACATAAGAATTTAATAAAAATTTGTTGAATAAATGATCCTTTAAACAGCATAAACATGCTGAGTGAAGTGAGCAGAACCCAGAGGACTTTGTATACAATAGCAGCCACGTTATACAATGACTAAGAATGTTAAACTGAACCCTTCTCAGCATTACAAGGATTTAAGACATCTCCAGAGGCCTCGGGATGGAAAATGCTGTCCACATCCAAAGAAAGAACTATGGAAGTCGAATCGCTCTCACTTATTTTACCTTAAGTTGAGTTTGTTTCATCTTTCTGATGGTTCCTCCTATTGGTTTTAATTTTTACTTACAACTTCACTAATGTGAAAATATGTTTAATGGGTATGTAAATGTAAAGCCTATGTCAGATTGTGTGCCGTCTTGGGGCGGGGGAGAAAAGGGAGAAAAAATTTTCAACTCAAAAGCATACGGAAAAAAAAATTTAAAAATAAAATAAAATAAAATAAATTAAAAAAATAAACAGCATGAACAAATAGAATACAGCAGTATAAAAAAAAGAACAGGAACGCAAGGACAGTAAAATGCTATAAAATCAAAATTTTAAAGTAATTAAAATTGTACCTATATATATGTCAAAAACTAAAAAGTAATGGAAAGATTTTTCCTGAATACAGTATTACTAGAAAACAAGAGCTAAAATTATATATGATGGAGAAACAGAGATACTCATTTAGAAATTATTTGAAAGTTGATCAGACCCATGGATTTGGAAAAAATAGGGTCAGATCCCAGCAATGTTACTTACTACCAGCGGTTTCTTCATCTAAGGAAATGAAAGGGTTAGACTAAATGACGTCTAAGGACCAGCTCTCATTCTATGATACTATGACTACAATCGACATCTATTTGACAGAGTTATAGACACAGTAACAAGCATAAAAAAAAAACACTAAGAGAATACGCACTAGCAACAAAAAAGGCTAAAAAATAACTCTACTTAAGGGCCACATAATTGTATGTGCAGAAAGCCCAAAAGACTACAAAAAATTAATAGATGTACTAGGTTAATTTAGTAACACAGTAAGATACAATATAAGCCCACAAAAGTAACTTACATTTTTATATATACTTAACAAAAATCAGAAAAAATCAAACAAATGCGATTTATGTTAATGGGGGGAAAATGAATCAAATAATTGGGTACCAAAATATGCTCAAAACCTATATAAAAACAACTCTGAATACCAATGAACACCTGACAAAATTACATTAAGTAATTAAATTTGTTTGGAAAAACAAAGACAAAAGCAAAGGAAAACTACAAAAAAATCAAAAAGACTTGCTTTGCCAGATTTTCTAATGATAATTTTATCACTACCTGATTTTTTTTAAAGCTACATCAATGAGAAAACCTAAAAATAAAATTAAATGTATAAAAAGATTAAGAATAGAGACTGGACCTGTGATTTCACTGATAAAGGCAACTTCCAAATGGGAAAACTCCTATCAAAGCTGCTTAGTTTCGTAGGTTTCCTAGGGCACTGAGAGGTTTAGGGACTTCTATGCTTACACAGCCATGTGTCTGTCAGAGGCAGGCCTTGAATCCACTCAGATTAAAATGTAATTGGGAAATATTTATCAAAATAAATGAAAATCAATAGAACATAATATTAATATATGGTCAACATGTGGCCAGCAGGGATCTTTATATATGATTTAGTGGGCCACCATTTCTATTTGATTTGACACCACTGATCTACAACATTCTGCCTCGCCTAAAAATGATTAGTATTTTAAAACTCCAAAGCTACAAAACCACTAGGAAAAAAAAATTCAATAAAAATTGTTCCAAAAATTACATAGCTATATAGTAAAAGATTATGTGAGACTCAAAACTTACCACATATTCTATGGTAAAGTCAAATTCAATCAGTATTCTAAATGTTTACACATATAAAAATTTCTATTGAACAACTGGAAGAAATTATTTAATATATAATCTACAGATTTGATTAAATAAAAATAACTTCATTTGCAAAATGAAAAGCAATTTATCCAAAATAAAAAAGCAAATGAGGTACCTCTGCAGTAAGCATTTCTGATAAAAATATGACATCCAGACTCCATGAGGGAATGATACAGATTTACAAGAGTAATATCAAATCACCAATGAATAAACAGCCAAAGGATTTGGAATGACAATTCTTTTAACACAAAAACTGTTAATGTCATTATTTTAAAAATCCTCTAATCATCAGAGAAGTGAAAATTAAAACAAGTCAGGGATAAAATCTGACACCTAAAATAGCAAAGGTAAGTAAAACTGATCAAATTCAGAGTTGGCAGGGCTGCAGGGAAATAAGTATGCTATCACATTGCTAGTAAAGCCATAAAATGGTACAATCTTTTTAGAAAACAACCAGGCAACACACAATAAAAGTTACAAAACTGATCACACCCTTTGACCAAGTGATTTCACTTGTAGGGCTATAGTCTAGGGATATTACTAAAGATTTGAAAAAAATAACCTATCTGCACAAAAATAGGCAGACCTGTTTTATTTGTGGGAACAAAGAAATGGAAATAATCTACATATCCAGTAATTGAGGAATGGCTAAAAAAAAAAGTAAAGAAACATTATTGTACCATAAAAGTGACAATTAACTGATGTAATAATTTAGTAACACAGCAAAGATACAAAAACAAATACATAAAAATATAGCAAGATTTCTACAAAGTAATACAGATGGGAAAAAAAGAGAATTACACACTAATACCATCACCTTATTTAAAAAGGATGGCAGGAACAAAACTTTTTAAGTACCCCGACAAAGGGAAATCAGAAAGGTATATAAAGAAATTATAAACAATTTTTTTAAATTTTTTTAATCAAAATATAAAGTTTTGAGTTTTAAGATTCTATTAGACATTTTATTTTTTTTTGGTTGTTGATATTTTCTCAATTTCTTTTTAAGCTTATAACTTTTCAAAACATACACATAATAGGGTATCAGTACAGAAATCCTAACTAAATTTTAGACTGGGGAAAAAAATTTAAACTAGTGTCTAATTAAAACCTGGTTGCAAAATAGGCACCATTCCATTTTTTTTAAGTGACTAAATATATGGTACTACGAGCAAATATAACATGCTTTGTACCACTCTAGCAATTAAGCATTTCAAGAAAGCAACCGAGACTATGATTTCAAATGGAGACAGAAGACCACTTGTGACCTTGGGCACTTACATGCTTCAAACCTATTTCCACTTTAGTCAAGTGAGGAAGTTGGGTATGATGATTCTCAGATTCCTTCCAGCTCACTATATTACTTACAAAAAATGCATCAACATGTACTTTCACTGTTCACCTCTTTAAATATCACCTAACTTTTACTTCTCAAGCTATTCTTATCAAGGATATTAGACCCAAGGAATGTTTAAAGATGTCTTTTATTATTTTGTCAAAGTATTTTCTGGGTAAAAATTACTAATTTGGCACTTAAAACAACATAGTACACCCAAGTGGAACTAAAGTCCCCAAGTGGAGGTCAGTGGCAACATGTCAAGTGAAATCAAAGCTGACAAAGTTTCTGGAACAAAAATGACACTCAATGCCTGACAGCACCAATGGACAATGGTGCTGCTATAGCTATCACAGTGAAAAACAGGGTACTCGTATCTGGTGCACAATCAAAGAGCAAATCCTCAGTTAATGCACAACTTTCTAATCCTCTTATCTTCTAAAACAGCAAATACTTCAACAGAGAAAATCTAAATTGATGTCATTTTCAGGACATCAGCAAGTCAATTTATTGTTCAACACATTACTAATGTTATCAAAATAAGAATACCCATGGCCATGAGTGCTAGTACAAGCCTAGAATCTCTGCTTCTGGTTGGCATATCACTAAAGATTGGGAGTTCTGAGCTACAGTAGGCTAAAGCAGAACAGGTAAATACACTAACAATGGGACTAATACGGGAAGTCCCTGGGAGTCCTTCTCCCTCAGACAGTCCCAGGCTGCCTATAGGAATGGGCAAAAAGCCCAAGTGCGGAAAAAGCAGGTTAAAACTTCTTTATCAGGGGCAGCTAGGTGGCACAGTGAATAGAGCACTGGCCCTGGAGTCAGGAGGACCTTAGTTCAAATCCAGCCTCACGGACATAACACTCACTATCTGTGTGACTCTGGGCAAGTCACTTAACCCCAACTGCCTCACCAAAAAAAAGAAAAAAATTCTGTATCAATCAGTACTGGGATTAACCTCTAAGTGGCACTTTGAGATAGGGAGATTCAATCTCACCATCACTTCCCTGGACCTCAGCAATAAAGAAGAAATTAAAACTATCCATGAAATGGTGAGCCATTACCACACAAACCGGGTTTTAGACCAAATATTCTTTACCTTTTTTGTGTGTGTCATGGACCCTCTCTATCTTAGCAGTCTCGTGAAACCTATAGAACCCCTTTTCTCAGAATAAATGATTGAAGGAAATGATAAACATCAGATAGATGTTAGTGAAAATGAATATGCATTTTTTTTCTCATACAAGTTCATGGACTCCTGAAATCTATCCATAGACTCCAGGTTAAGAACCCCTGGTTTAGACAAGTGATATTCCCTAGTTTAAAATAATTAATAACAGCATGAGCATACCTGGAGAATTTGCTACTGAGTCAAAATGACAATTGGACAGTACTGCATGCTGTGCTCCACTGCTAGGTTCCAGCTTTACTACAACATTGGTTATGTTATCATAATAGCTAGTAAATCCTCCTAAGAAGTCAATGCTGAAGGACCCTGTTGGTCGTTGCACATCTACTGAAATCTTGTGAATGCTGCTGCTTTCAGCTTTGATCAGTTTAATCTGCTCCAAGAGGTAGTTAACTGTGAGAACTTCATTTTCTAGGCTTCCTGTAGTTCTGGGACCAATAGAAGTTATATGTTCAAGATAATTCCTACAAAAAACCAAAAAGAGTAAAATGATAAAAGATTTGCTAAGCTAAAAGCACCACAGTACTACAGAAAAAGCCACATCTACCTATACAGCTTAAATAAGTATTTATCAGTAGTAAGGGATCATCACTTTATTAAGCATATTTTGAAATAATCTATAAATTCCTATTAACATTTCATTTTTGGTCCTCATCACCTGACAGTAGGGTTTGGAATCTAAAAAATTATTTTTAAAAATTCCAATATAATCAATCGTTTACAGTATGAATAAGTCAAGCAATCAAAAGCAATAAAAAGTGTGTCCAAAAGTCATGCCTACTAAGAGCTAGATAGTAACACAATACAACTTTACACAGAGGGTGCAAATTCAGGTGGTTAAAAGTCAGAATGACCTCCTCCTAGTGCACACAAATAACCACCCTACAGATAAAGTTGTACTTGGGCCAAAACTAAACTTATGCAAAAAGATAATTAGCTAAAGCATGCAGTTACACTCCCTTCCAAAAGATCATGACAGATAAACCACTTAAGAAAACAAGCTTTTTCTGCTTGGTGTCCAAAGCACTTTTTAGTAAGGTAGTCTAGTGAAATGTTTTTCACATAGAATTTTTGACCTTTGTAATACATAGATTACTATACTTTTAATTTCAGTTTACAACAGGATGCATGAGGAACTTTAGACCAACCAAGCCTATCTTAGCTCACTACCCCCTTTTCATCTCAAAATGAGCACAAAAAACCATGATTTTATAAAGGAGTATACAAAACCATCCTTCTTCAATCCTCAATCTGACAAGATTATGCTTTTTTAAAGAACCCAGTCACTTATATATAAATAGAAGTAACTCCAAAAAGGAGAGAGAATGAAAGTCATGCCTCTGAAGGACTAAAAAAACATAAATGGCACATGTCCCCAATTCCTCCACTTATTTGCAGTATCAAAAGTTGGATGGGAACTAGATAATCATTTAGTACAGAAGAGCAAAGTGCAGTCCGGTGGTTTAAAAACACGCCCAGAGTTACACAGATAGTAAATAGAGTAAGTACTAGAACTCGGGAGCTCAAAAGGTCTAACCTTCTCAAAAAGGTCCGCAAGTCCACAAGCATTTATCAAGTGATTGCTATGTGCCAGGCACAGTGCTAAACGCCCGGGATACAAAAGGAAGAGCGGTCCTTACTTTAGAAGATCACAATCCTACCAGAAAGACAGCATAAAAACAACCATGCATACATCCCACTCCCACGTGCTAGCTGTCACTAATAAGAAACTACTCTTGCAGCAGAGTACAGGATGCAAAGCTAGCCCCCAAAGGCACCACATTAGACTAAGCTTTCTTTCGCTCCCCAGCGCTTAGCACGGTGTCTGGTAGGTATAGAGTAAAAGCTTAATAAATGCTCCTTGGCGTGACTTCTAAATTGTAAATGGGAGACTCGGATAATTTAGCGCCAAAAGGTACCTCATTTGGTCCAAACCTGCTCATTTTACGGAGGAAACTGAGGCCCAAGTCTGTTAAGTGACTTGTCCAAGGTCACCGAAAGAGAAAGCACAAGTGGGATCCGAACCCAGGTCCCCTTCTCCTTCCAGATCCGACACCTCAGTTCCACTGCAAGGACAGCTTAGGAGCACTTATTAAACGCTTGCTGTCTGCTCGGCAGCGCGCGGAGATTTGTGCACGTGTGGGGGAGGACAGGAGAAGGAAGGGGGGGGAGGCGGCACCTACCGGGCTCGGAGAGCGCTGAACTCCGGGCGGGGCCCCGAGGAGCCGGGCAACACGAGCTGCCGCAGGGAGAGCTGCACGAGCAGCCGGAGCCCGAGCAGGTAGAGAAGGAGCGCGAGCCCGGCGCGCGCCTCCGACAGCCCGGAACCCGCGGCCCGGCCGCCGTCGCTCCCCTTCCGCGCCCAGTCCCGGGCGCTCGCCCCGACGAGCGGCCCCTGCTCCGAGGCCTCCCGCTCCTCCTGCCCTGGGGCAGCGGGGATCCCTCGGCGCTCCCCTCCGACGCGGAGCCGTCTCACGGCCGCAGAGTGCGAGCCCCACTCCATGGCCGCGAGCCTCGAGCCGCCAGCCCCGAGACCCCGCTGCGGCCACCCGCCCAACCGCCACTGCCCGCCCGCGCCCCGGCAGCCCGGACAGCGCCTCCTGAGAAGCGGACGGAAACTGCACTGGGACAAACTTGTGCTGATTGGTCCTCTCCCGCCGGCCGCCCTGAGCCCGCCCCCTTGGGCGGAGGGAGGCCCTCGGGCGGGAGGGGCGGGGCGGACCGCCGGGCGGGTTCGAGGAGTACGCTCAGGTGGACCGCGGAAATTTCCAGAATGGAAAGTCAAGTCACAGGACCTTCTTTGGAACCGAAAGGAAACTTTAGAAGGCATCCGGGTAGTGGACAGAGCTGAATGAACTATTAAAAGTAAAAACGAAAATCCAGTCCTCCCCAACCGCGCCCCCGGCTGCCCCGTGCAGATTGAGTAGGCTTGGCTCCCTACAGGCCTGTGGGCCGGAGTGAAAATGGAAAGTGGGACAAAGCCTGGTAGCCCCAGGCATCACCCGCCCTGCTGAATCCGATCCCTGGGCTCTCTACGCTCCAGCATCAAACACAAAATTCTGCCTGGTTTTTAAAGCCTTTAGTTACGTAGCCCCTTCCTAGCTTTACTCCCGACCCCCGATCTTAAGATCCAGGACAGTGGCCCCCTTGCCCTTCCTAGCAAACAAAAAGACTCCAAACTCCCAGTTCTGTACATTGTCACTTGAATGCCCTCCCTCCTCACCTGGCCCTCCTGGGTCCTTTCCTTCCTTTAAGTCCTAGCTAAAATTCTATATTCTGCAAGAAGACTGTCTGCAACTCCTTAATGCTAGTGTCTTCCCTCTGAGATTATCTCCAATTTAATAACCATGAGGAGCTTTTGTAGTTGTTCAGTCATTTTAGACTTCACAACCCCTTTTGGGGTTTTCATAGAAAGACACTGGAGTGGTTTGCCATTTCCCTTTCCAGCTCATTTACAGATGAAGAACTTGGGCAAACAGGATTAAGTGATTTGCCCAGGGTCACACATCCAGTGTCTGATACTGGATTTGGACTCAGGTCTTCCTGACTCCAGGCCTGTCTCTATCGTTTACCCCTCTAGCTGCCCTCTATCTATCTATCTACCTCTATATATCTACTACTAGATATCTATTTATATCAATATGTATTTCTAGATATAAACACACATATAGGTATGTACACATATACATATGTGTGTATATATATACATATGCACCTCTGCTTCTGTCTAAAAGCAGGAAGAGATGGCACATGAGTCAACAAGCTTATATGGCACTATGTGCCTGCCAGGCAGTGCACAGTCTCTGCCTATATCTATTTATCTATCTATCTGTGTACATATACAAAGATATATAGATATATATTGTTTTTATGAAGTTGTTTCCCCTTTTAGAATGTGAATTCCTTGAGGTCAGGGATTGTTTTTTGCCCTTCTCTATCCACTAGGGTTTAGCACTGTTTGGCCACACCTGTGTCTCCAAGAAGATTTAGACTATGCTGTGGCCACACCCCCATGAACTGACTAAACCAGGCTAAAGCTGGTCGAAGGTAACCAACTGACCTCAAATCTGTCAGTTAGATGGATGTCTGCCCCAAGCATGTGAAGACTTCCCCTGGTGAAATGGGCAGAGAGAAAAGTTTGTTATGAGGAGAACGAAGGCAGTTGAAGCAGGCACCCCTGAAGATCTTAGAGCTGGTCATCCACTTTGTCCCAGGTATCCACTTCGTCCTACATCATTACCAGTCAATTTTCATCCTGCCACTGGACATCAGTGACTCAGGAAGAGAGACTGAGGCTGATGAGCTTGTGCAAATTTGCTTCAAATCAATTCAAGAGTAAGTCAAGACATCAGCCATATCACTGGTCCTCTTCAAAAACAAAAAACAAACAATAGAATATGAATTTCATGATGTCAGGGACCATTTTTACCCTTCTCGGGTAACCCCCAGGGCTTAGTATGTTTGGTATGTAGTAGACATTTAATATATACTTATTCACTGACTGATATACCATCCTTTCTTGCTTTTAGATAGAAACAAAAGTTTTGTGGATTGTTGGCTGTTTTAAGTGGTCAAGCACTAGTAGAGAACTTGCTAGTTACCTAAGTACTTTCTTAGTTCAGCCTTCTAACAACCTTATGGAGCAGGAAGGATGGATAGGCATTCTTGTGCTCATTTTAGATATGAGAAGAAAGAGGCTTAGGTCAGAGGTCAGAGCCAGAACTAGAATCCAGGTCTTCAAGGGAAAATTCTATCCCCTTTTTTTCTCCCTTGCTGTCTGGCTGCTTGAATTCCCATCCATCTTTTAAAGCCCAACTCATAAAGCTTCCTCCTAAACCTTTAAGGCCCCCTCTTACACAGTACTTTGGTTTGCAACTCTCTAATGTACTTGTCCAGTGATCTGTGTGTTAATTACCTGTGTTTGTTTCCCATCTTTCCACAAGACTGTAAACTAGGTTAGAAGAAAGACCATGTCTTGCCTAAACTCTGAATCCACATAGATTAGGTATTTAATAAATTTTAGTTGAATTTGTGGTTTGCCTCTCCTACATGTCCATAGCTACTTTGGACACCTTTGCTATAGAACTAGATCAACTGTAGGCTTTGATATAGTGACACTGGCTTCCTTGCTGTCCCCAGAATAAGATACTTCATCTCTAGACTCCCAGAATTTTCTCTGGCTGTCCCCTATTCCCAGAATGCTTTCCCTTCTCATCTCTGCCTCCTGGCTTCCCCTGGCTTTCTTCAAGTCTTAACTAAAACCTCACCTTCTACAGGAAACCTTTCCCAAGCCCTCTTAATTTCAGTGCCTTCCTGTTAATTATTTCCTATTCATCCTTATATAGCATTTTCGTATATATTTGTTTGCTTGCTGTCCCTTCCCCACTAAATTTTCTCCTTGAGGTGAAGGCCTGTCTTTTGCTTTTCTCTATGACTAAGTTAGAGATGGGTTTTAATATGTGTTGAAAGAGGGAGTTCTCACACCAACAAAATCACAGATAACCTCACTTTTTTCTCTAAACTTGTATCTTGTCTATCACAGTCTCACACTGACACATGCAATAAACATCCCTAAAGCTTAGCACAGTGCGTGGTACTTGGTAGGTGCTTAATAAATGCTTATTGACAGACATGTGGCCTGTAAGGGTGATTTAGGAGACTTTCCCCCTACTTTTCTCTCTTTTCCTACTCTCTAGAGGAACCTCTATCCTTTTCCATAACTATGGAAAGAACTGAAGCATTCTGTATCAGTCTTGTCTTTTCAGTTAATCACACTTTTCTGTGTGGATACTAATGCCTTGGAAAACAGCATCTCCAAGTATAATGGGCAACAATAGATATCTACACTTGTAAGAATTTACCAGACAGCTACCCTCTTTCCTTTAAACCTAATCCATTTGCATTTGAGGGAGGAAGTAGGAAGCTAAGAGAGTACATTGATAAGGACTATGGTTCTCAGATTTTTTGGCTGAAGTACACATAACTTGGAGACAGCTTTGTCTCTTTTATTATGTTATTCCTTTATGCCACTGTTTTGCTTGCTATTTCATACTTAATAATAATGATAGCTAGAAATTATATTATACTTTCAGGTTTATAAAGCACTTTACATATGTTACCTCACTTCATCCTCACAACAACCCTGTGAGGTAAATACTGTTATTATCCCCAATTTTACAGATGAGGAAACTGAGGCCGGAAGAGTGTGAGTGACGTGCCCAGGGTTACACAGCTAGTTAGTTCATATAATTTTGTACCTGTATATTGGCACTACTTCCACTTTAAAAGCTTCCTCCAGTGATTCATCTGGCATAGAGGTGACCCCAGATTCTTGAAGGCTATGCCAGCTCTTTCAGCCCCCTAACAAGCTGGAAAAACTTATGAGTATAGAGAGACAACTGACTGCATATCAGTGGGCCACTAAACAATATTTTTCAGCCCCAGATCATCTATTAAAACCTGTGGTTAGCATCTGCATTCATGGAGCACTCACCACAGTAAAATCTGTTGCAACTTATCACCAATATATTTTTCCCTCATGGTGTTCATGACTTTAGACCTGGGGTTCTTAACCTAAGGTAGGCAAATTAAAAAGTATATATTTTTTGATAACTATATTTTAATGGAATGAGTTTCTTTTTTGATCATTTGAATCTTTTTTATGCATTTAAGAGCATTATTCTCAGAAGGGTGTGTCCATGATACACACACAACACACACACACACAAAGGAATGAAAAATTGCTTTAAATATAAATAATGAAATAAAATAAAAAAATAAAAACCCTACTATAAAAAGGCCACTATAGAAGTGGTACAGTGTAATGCATAATGTGCTGTTCTTGATGTCAAGAAGACGTAGGGTCCCATCTTACCTCCGATACTTACTAATCATGTTACCAAAGACAAGTCCATCTTGTAGTTCCTGGCATTTTCTCTGGCAGTCCTCCACACCTGAAATGCTTTCCTTCCTCCAGGGTCCTCTATGGGCTTCCAGAGCTTCCTTTAAGTCTCAACTAAAATCCCTTCTTTTACTGGAAGCCTTCCCCACCCCCTCTTAATTCTAGGGCCTTCCCTGTGTAAATTGTTGTTCAGTTTTGGCTGATTCTGGGCAAATATACTGGAGTAGACTGCCATTTTCTTCTCCAGCTCATTTTACATATGAGGAAACTGAGGCAAACAGAATTAAGTGACTTGCCCAGGGTCACACAGTAAGTATCTGCTGGATCTGAAATCACAAAGATGAGTATTCTGACTCAGGGCCCAGTATCAACTGGACCACCTCTGTAAATTACTTCTTATTTGTCCTGTTAAACAAAACTTGCTTTGTTTATATTTGTTTAGATATTGTATCTCCCATTAGATTGTAAACTTCTTGAAGGTAGGGAGTATCTTTTGCCTCTTTATCATCAGAAGTTAGCACAGTGCCTGTTCTGTACTAGGCAATTAACAAATGTTTATTGACTGATTGATTAAAGTCACAACCATTCTGAGACTCTATGTCTAAATTATAGATGGGTTTCAATATATGTTGAAGGAGGAACTTTTCGCACCAACAAAACCACAGATAACCTACTT